GCACAGCAGTGAGGAACTCGTGGTTACAGTGTTTGAACTGGACATTTTCTACTATAGTTAACTGGAGATGTTCAACTTGTCTAAACTTTGCACAGCTTCTGTTTTCAGTGGTGAAGTTCTGTTTGTTGTATGATACGACGAAAGCTCCTACATGACATGAGTATGGTTCTGTTACTAAAGATTGTCGACTCATATAATCCTTGTTATGCTAGTTTAAGAAAGAAAAGGCAGCATCAATCTTCTTTTTTTCAGATCTGTGCTTTCACCTCACAGTTGTGCCAAGTATAAGGAACTTATTGTCCTTGCTATTACGATTGTTTACCTTACTCTAGAGACCATGGGCTATTTTTTGCAGATAAATTAGGGTAAAATAGTTGGGTGTGAATCCTAAGCTTTTTGTCCTATGGGTTTCGTTTGGCATTTTTCCTAAGGATTCAAGTGCACTCTATTTTGGAGAGAATATTTCATCTGTCGGACGTCTTGTAATTCATTTTCTTGTGATGTAATTTTTTCCAATCCACCCATGGGTTTTTATTTATGTACCACCCAACTATTTTTCTTCATAACCCACACAAAGGCTGAAAGGCGCATACAATGAATTTTCTTTCTGATAATCTTAATACAGTCTCATAGATCTTTTCATTTCAGCCTTTAGAAGTCCAATGCACACACCCTGGCTATATCTTCGCTCCTCCAAAATCCATGCATTTATTTTTTTGTGTACCATCGTGATGCATGACAGGCCAAACTCTTGCGTCCTGTGGTCTCGCAGAAATCCAAATCTTCACAATTATGGTTTTTTCGTATCTCTATTTTCTTGTTCCTGTCTTTCAAGTAGACATTTGTGCAGTTTTTATACATTGAGGCATATTAAAATTGTGGAACCAATGCTTCGCAATACTGAAAAACCAATTCACAATTGGTTAGTGGGTTTGAAAATTCTTGTTTCTAGTCAAACGGTCGTCGGCATGTCAACCAGTATAAAAGTACATTTGTTCACTGCATTACTATCATAGTTTTTTTTAGGTGATGCATTACTGTCTTAGTGGTACAATGCTATCGATTTCAGGACAGACCTAGGAGTATTTATGTACTGGGCTATGATTTAGATGACATTTACTGGATTTGAACCTATGCATTTGCTGGCATGCTATTAATCTCTCCTTGCAATTCCGTGCAGAATGATATCTTTACTCAAGTGATGAACCCGCTAGTGGACGAGTTCTTGGGAGGAAAGAGCGGGCTTCTGGTTGCGATGGGTCCGACGGGGTCCGGCAAGACGCATACCGTCTTTGGTACTGCGAGAAATCCCGGCCTGGTACCGCTCACGCTACAGAAGATCTTCGCCGCGGCAGATGAATCCGAAGGTGGCAACCAATCGCCAAGGTACACCTGTTCTGGCTTTTTTGCTGCCAGCTTGGTACACTCTACTAGTGTAGTGTATAATCTGCATATCTAGTACTGGGTCCGTGCTAGGATTGACGCCAAATGCCGCAAATATAGCAAATGTTCAGAAGATTACTGAAGCATGCAAGTCTGAAAATTCTGAAACTAAAAAAGTTTTACCGTTTTGGATTCTCTCGCGAGCAGCTTATAGCTTAACATGATGTGCAAATGCAAGTTCTTTGTTAGGTTTTCTAGCTACGGTGGAAGCAATTAAATCACAAACACTCCCTTAATGAGTTCCATGACACACTTGCAGGTCATTTTACTTGTCAATGTTCGAGATTCTCTGTGAAGGAAAAGGAGAACAGATTCTCGATCTTTTGTCTGGTGGAGCAGAGCTGGTCCTCCAGCAGTCAGCAACAATTAAAGGCCTTAAAGAGGTATCTCAGTTGGCCTACTTTCCTTAAAATTAGGCCCCTTGGAACAACACTTTGAACATGCCTGATAGGGTCATATATAATTATATATAGTAGTCTTACTCTGGTGTCATTTTAAATGTCATGGCCACGACTTCGTGACAACTTAAATATCTTAAGGAATTTGCACTTCTTTGCTGTAATCAACCTTGGCTTCCAACCTGAAAGACGGGGTCTTGGATGGCAAATTCCATTTCCAGTTGATATGCACTGCGTTGATATGAATAGTTTTTGTAGTAGCATGCAATAAGGTGCTCGCCTTTCTGGCAATAGCATAAAATTAGATGCTCACTGTTATTTATTTTGCAGGTGGCCATTTCAAGTGCCATGGATGCTGAGAGCGTAGTTTCACGTGGCATGCTTAAGCGCAGCACAGCTGCAACTGATGCTAACAGCGAGTCAAGGCATGTTCTCTGTATAGATAGATCTGCAAACATATCTTTCATATAAATACCACTTATCCTGAACTTTTTAGTTGCAGTTATATACGATGATGTTAATATTAACTTCATATTGTATTGCAGCCGGTCACAGTGCATCATAACTATACGTGCTGTTCATAAAAAAATTGAACAACAAAGTGAGTACCCTATTAGTGGATCTGTCCTGACCATTGCAGACCTTGCTGGGGCAGAGCGAAAAAAGAATACTGGAAATAAGGTCTATTCGTCTATCACCGTTAATTGTATTGTATAGCAGTGATCATATAACCATGTCATGACACCTGTTCTTCTACTGGATAATGGTCTAAATAACTTTTAATCTTTGATTTTGCAGGGTTCAAGGTTGCTGGAGAGTAACTTTATTAACAATACGTCAATGGTTTTCGGTCTATGTTTGAGGGTAAAATTAGCCTTTTCATTTGCTGCCCTTTATGCACAACAGATGGTGCTTGCAGAATGCATTTTTTATCAGTGAGGTGCACCTGCCAGCTAATCATAGTTTTGCTTTCAACTTTGGTAACTGCAGGCTTTATTAGATCATCAGAAAAATCAGAAGAAAACCTTGGAGAAACATTTTAAGAACTCAATGGTATGTGTGCTGACAATGTATTCTTTTGAAATAATATTATTTTCATTTGTCCTAAATATTTTGTGTTTTCAAAGTTGACAAGGTACTTGAAAGACTACCTGGAAGGAAGGAAGAAGATGACTCTGGTAAGTCATTCTGCGATAAAATGGTCTATTTTTCTTATCAACAGCTCCTCAAATGACATCTTACTAGTTCAAAGTTTTTTTGATCCTGACAAATGTACTACTCCCTCGGTCCCAAAATAAATGTTGCTGATTTAGTATAAAGTTATGCTAAATCAGTGACACTTATTTTGGGACGGAGGGAGTATTATTCTATTGGCCATTATGAAGGATGCCTATTGAATCTTTTTCAATTGAAGGCCCGTTTTTGCAAGTCATTCACAATCTCTATATTTTTATGCTGGAAGAGTGTGTCATTGACACCCTTACTCTGAGGTCTACACAGTGCATGTTGACTTGATAAGTGCACTGTTTTTAATTACCATTTCTATTGTTTCTCAGATTTTGAACGTGAAACCAGGAGAAGATGATTACGCAGATACATCATATTTGCTCAGACAAGCATCTCCTTACATGAAAATAAGGTAATTCCCTTTATTTTTTCTTCTCCCAGTCTGGATTGAATGGATTGAATGGCAGTGGCCAATAGTACCATTTCATGCTTGATTTACGTTAGTCAAACGTCCTTTGCATGTGATATACTCCTAGGTATTTTTTTTTATAAATATAGTACTATTGACAGGGTTGTATAAGTAGCAACACACTGTACATACAAAACCAATGAAAGACTTTGGCTGTAGATTCTATCTGTTCAACGATGTGTACTTACTGATTCCTTCAAAGAAGTTCGTTTAGCTTTGGGGTCGAAGAAGTTGTTCTTCGTGACACTGTAGTTAAATGTCCTTGCTGATGAGTTAAATGACTCCATGTTGTACTTGAAATCCGACCGTTTTGTCAAATGTCGCATGTACGTTGGGTGGCCTCTATACATAGATACATATGCATATTTATCATTCATTCTATTTCCTGTTATCTTTTCAGGTACACCAGCCTTGATGAATCTTCTGACTTGGTTTCCCAAAAGAGAACCAATGTTTCCCTGGTTTGCCAAGAGAACAAGAAAAAAAGGAAGGTTAACAAGCCCGAGCCTGAAGTTGTTACGGTACAAATTGATTAAATCCTCCAATCATTTTGTCCCATTTAAGTATTTAATTTCTGTCTGGCGCAGAGCCTCACTTGTATAGACATTTCAGCTCTGATAGTTAATTATTTTGAATGAACTATCATTTTTGTTATGTTCTGCAGGCTGAAGAAAAGGAGCTGCAAAGAGTGCTTCGAAGTGAACAAATCATGAAGAACCTTTTCAATGCTTTATGGACTGTTTCAAAACAAAAGATTTCAGTAAGCAGGAAAAGATTTTGGTAATTTGTTCATTTGAGTTTCTTTTTGTATTTTGTTGATCCATGGTATTTCGTTCATAGGAGTCTGAGGTTGCTACTAAAAGCATGCGAGAGTTGCTCAAAGATAAAGACACTGAAATTCTAGAGCTGAAAAAAGAGTTGGATGACCTGAAGTTTCGTTGTTCACACGTTAAGCAAAATGATGCTGCATCAATTGCTATAAGCTCGGTTGTTCAAACTGACCTTGCCAGTGACGCTGCATTAAACAATTTCCATGTAAGTTCAGCTTTGGATTATAATATCTGACGTTTAATGTTCTATTTACATATACTGCCTCATATGTGCATGATGAATGACTTAGATTTGGAGGTATATATGCTATATGATTTTCTGCTATTAATATAGAACTCTATAAGCAAGTTATCATATCTCCAATGCTCATGTGTATTTGTTTCTGCATATCACCTTCTGCCCTGCTTTATGTACTATTTGTGCCTCAATAGTAAGCAACATATCTCCCCTTTAAGTCTCTATCTCAATACTGTATATGCCATGAGATCATACACTCTAAATTTACTTGCTGCCTGAACAGCCGTTAGGAGTAGCATAGGGTGTTCGTGTTGCTTGTGTAGACGTGTAGGGTGTTCTTTGTTGCATTTGAACGTAGTTCTCATTTTTACTTTATGTTTCTCTTATTTCAGATAATGGGACAAGTGGGCAACAAGGAATCTGATGGTTCTGAGAGTTGTTCTGAACAAACATCGGCACCTGACGGTGGTGTAACACATGCACCCAGTCATTTGGATGATCCATCTGAGACAAGCTTTACAGGTCCAATTGTATATCCACTTTGCTTGACAGCTCTTAAACTAACTGGTACACAACAACTGAGACACATGTATCATTTTTGCAGAACTTCATATAGTTCCATGTAATCTGTCCGCACAGTTTACTGATATACAAGTTAGCGAGAAAGCTCCCGTGGAACAAAGTGAAGAAGAGGAGTTAAGCAGCAATACAGAAGTGAAGAGTATTCAACATGACGTCGACATAAAAGGTTCAAAATCATTTCTTATGCTTGTTTCTTCGTTGCTAGTGATGTACTTCTTTTTGTTGAACTTTCACTTGATCTTTGTACAGAAATGAAGCAGCATGATTATCAAAGTTCATCTCAGCAACCGAACTCTGGCGCTGAAGACGTTAGCTCCGATCAGCCTTTCTTAGAGTTGCAAGGCATGGTATGTAATCCTTTGATCCTTTTGTTTTTGCAACTCAAAGGGAAGTTTAACCCTACACGTTTTTGGAATATTCTTAGTATGCCATGGTTGGTCATAATGGCAGGATGCATATTAGTTGGTCATAATGGCAGGATGCATATTAGTTGGTCATAATGGCAGGATGCATATTTTTAAGAGAGAAGTGCATATATCAACCCTCAACTCCTGGGTGGGTCTAATATACACCCCTCATCTATTATACTGTCTAAGATGCACCCTCCAACTATCAAAACCAGACAAATTACCCCCTGTCTCGCCTTGACCCTGGTTTTGGTCCAGTCTCAGCACATGTTGACCAGGTCAACTCGTCCAGTCAGCATGCCATGTCAGCAATGAAATGAATGTATAATGCATAAATCGATAATTTGAAAATATCCTAATCTGCTGGTCAAAAATTGGCAGCATTTTGGTGCCATTTGGTACCATTTGAGCATCATATGAACAAATAAAAAGGCTTGAACAGAACTTGGTCACACATACATATATATAGGTCTGAAACACACATACATAGGTCTCACATACATATAGATAGGTCTGATACACACAAAGGTATCACAAATAGGTCTGACACATAGGACTCAAGTTGGTAATCAAACACTTGGCTGTACTCTCCCTCTTTAGCCGCAAGCATTTTTCCAATGACAAGTGCTTTTGCTCTCTTGATTTTGGATATTGACACATTTGCAAACATTTTTTCCTTCACGGTTGACTTTAATTGCTGGATTGACCATTCTGGACTAGACATTATCAAACTCTCAAACTTTTCTGCAATCTGTCTACTTGTGACTAGTGCACTATCTTTCCTTTTTGGACAAGTGTGTTCCCCAGTAAATGAAGTAATCTGCTGACTTTCAAACTTTGATGTTTTCCTCAACAAACACACCCAAGGACAATGAGGCCATGTGCAGTTTGCCCTTACTCTGACTCCCTCATCTTTTAATAACTTGATTTCTTTTCTTTCCTTCAGTGCATAACGAATGATTGCATCTTTGAACTCTTTCTTCCCACTAAATGTCATACCCAAGCTAAACTTGATCACTTCTGCTTTACTATTAAACCTAGCATATTCAGGCTCGCGCTTGATAAGTTCACCATCACTGTCCTCGTCATAAGATTCATCCTCTTCGGCACTTGAGTCATCTTCATAATTGCCTTCAGGTTTAACTACATTCAATGCTTCAAACTCATACTCAAGTGCAAGTTTTCCAGCTGCCATCTTCTTGCTCTTTTTGAATTTCTTGTAATCTTGCCTAATAGCATCTGCCTCATCGTCATCCGATGAACAATCTGGTGGCACAAAGTCACTATCATCGGAGCTGCTTTCTACATCAATTGGCTTTTCCTTTGCAGACTTCTTCTCATCATCAGTAGCTACATACTCCTCTTCAGCCCAATATTCTTCCTCACTAACTTCTTCATCTTGCACGGACGGATCCTCCAGATACACATCAGCCACACCTGCATCTGTTGTACATGCTGACAGTGTTTTGACAGACTTGTCCTCAGACAACATCAACAACCCATCAAAGAAATCCTTCCCAGGGAAGAGCCAGTGCAATTGTTGTCCGTCCACTGTGACATAATGCTCACTCAAACATTGTTGAATTCTCTGTAAGCTCAAGCTTGCTCGATCTAAAAAGGACATTGCTTCTTTGCCCCCCACATACTGGATTGTCTTCCCGTCATTGATAAATTCACCATTGAAATGAAAACGAACAGCAATATGATCTGCTGGATCCATAACCTATGATTGCAAAAAATAAACGAGATCAAATAACATTATTGCAGACGACCCAAATCATCCCTAGGTGAGGCCTTATGAACTATTCTGTGAATCTTTTAAAAAAAACTATTCTGTGAAAGGTGGGGGAATATTGCTCACCTAATTCTTCGCGTCTTCAACCTCGCATCAGTTGTGGGCTCTGCTTGGAGTTGGGGTAGGAGCTCTGCCCGTGGAGGGGATAACCGGTGGCGGCGGCGGCAGATCTGCCGGTGGCGGGAACAATACAGGCGGCGCTGGGGAGAGATCGGGGCGGCGGCGCTGGTCTTAGCGCCAG